AAGAGCAGCAGTTTCAGGTCCAGCTGCAGGGGCTTTAGCCTCCTGCTTCCATTTGTCTTTCCTCATGCTGCTGCTGCTGCTTCCTTTTGCTTTTTCCCCCTGTGCTGTGTTGCTCTTGGTGTTCAGGAGCAGACATAAGTGGTGCTTTTCTTTCTTTAAGGAGGGTCCATGTCTCATGGCCTGTTTGTGCTGGTATCCAGATGGAATTGCTTTAGCTCAGATCACAGAGTCTCTGGGTACTGCTCACCCTCCATATCCTGGATGCAAGCTGGAATTTCTCATGGGACACTTCTGTTTTTGGTTTTGTACTGTTTTATTGTTGCCATTTGCTCAGTTCATTCTCAGATTTATTTTCAGCAAAAAGTGGTTGCTGCTATTGGTGGCATGGCATGCCCTTTCATCTTGGACTCTTAATCTGAGTCTTGTATGGATGAAGATCCAGTTTATTTATTTATGTATTTATTTATTTATTTATTTATTTTATTTGCCTTCTGGCTTGATCTACCTTTTTTTCTGTGAGGATATGGAGTGCTTCCAAGCCCCACACCAGACCCCAAGCATGAATTAATGAGTTTCTCTCTTGCCAAGTTGGTTGGTTTTTGTTTGGTTTGGGGAGGGGGTGTCCCCCCGTCCCCATCCCCCCCCAAGCAATGTTCCATTCCTTGGTGTTGTCTTTTTCTACTTCCATGTCTAAAGTAGCCCATTAAAGAATGCAGGGTATGTTTTTCTATTCTGTCAGTCTTGCTTGATGGACAACCCCTACTTTACCCAGGTATAGGATTGGTTGCTACTCTGAGGTTTACAGTTCAGGGTTATGCTGTTAGTACTATACTAACAATTAAGAACAGTATTTTTTTTTTTTTCTTTCTCTGACTTATTCCTTAAACTTGCCTGTGAACTCTAGACTGGTAGTTTGTGGCTCTTATGTGTGCCATTGATACCTACCTATACAGACAAATTTCAAGATTTGTTCCAAACAGGTGAAATGTACCTAAGAGACTTAGGAGCCCAAGCTCCAGACTTGGTTTTCTTATAGAGAGGGATTGCTTACTAGTTCAGAAACCTCAGCTGGAATTTTTCAAGGGAGCCAAAGGAGTTGGGTATGCAGCCACTATTGAACTTCAACTAGATTTTGGCACATAACTCCCATAGGCTCTTTAGAAAATTATATTCCTTACCTTGCCCTAGGGAGTTAGATGGACAAATTAGATCTGAGCGTCATCTCACAGCTGAAGTAAAGATCATTTTTATTATGGCCTTCTTTGACTTTGGTGTGTCTACATAAACTTCCTGAAACTTCAGTTAATGTCTCTTTACTTCCTGTCCAAGCCATGGTATAATACTCCAGTGAGCTGGACAGCTGTGTCCATCCCACACGTTGAGAAAGTTATTCCTTACATGTAGCTTGCAATGATTGGATCAAAAGGTATTACTTGTAAGGCAGAGTGTGAATCAAGCTAAATTTTTACTGTTGTTTGTGTTTATTTAAAAAAAGAAAATGGAAATGTAGCTGGAAAATGTTTCTTTCATCTTGTAAGCTTGCAAGGAGGTAGGTTTTTAAAGAGGTCATCACTGGGCAAGCATAGGTTCTAGCTCTGCTGAGTCCCTGTGTCTCTGGGCAGGTGCAGGGGCAGAAAAGCATGTTGGCACAGTTCTCAGAACAGGGAAAGGTGCTAACAGACATCTCTCCCTCTTACAGGTCTCATTCTGCCACCTCTGGATTCAGCTTCAGGGAGATCCTGGACTACCTCAACTCCTACCGGTAGGCAGGGTGAAATGATGGGTGACAAGAAGCACCATGTTGAGAACCATTTTGTTGTCTTGTCAATTTGCCATCATAGTTTGGTGCCCTTTCCCTGTGCTTTATGAATTTTTGGAATCCTCTCCTTCCTACAGTCTTTCGCACCAGCTACAGGAATATCGGCTATACCAACCTTGTGAATCTGGCCCAACCCTAAAGCACGAAAACCATTAAACAATTTGCATCTCTTGGCTTGTTTCCTGGAGCAAGGCATGCTTTGGAGACAAGCTTAGCTTTCGTACTGAAGGGATGTTTTGCATAGCTTGGCAGTACTGGTTGTCTAGAGAGCATTGCTGCACAGCTCTGCTGAGGGCTCGATTCCTCTTTCATCTTGGCTAGATGGAAGATGGGATCACGCCTGCTTGAAGGATGGATTCTCTCAGAACAGTGTGTGGGCAGGAGAGAGTGAAGGTGAGAAATCTAACAGCCTCCCTGTTTCTCTTCCGTTTCACAGGACCAGGGAGCTGACGCCAACACGGATTGCAGAGAACATTATTTCCTTGCTGGAGGATTGTGAAAAATCCAGCCCCCCGCTTCGAGCAATTGTGCAGTGGGACAAGCAGCAGATTCGGATGGTATGTCTGTGTGGGGTAGGAGCGGCCCTCTGCCCTCTCCGAAGCAGCAGTGTTATATCTTTTACCAGAGGAAGACTCTTGCTCTAACCTGCTGCTTGTCCAGCTAGAGATAAAACCTTTCTCCTTTCCTGCAGATGGCTGAGGCCTCTACCACTCGCTACAGAAATAAATGTCCTCTGTCTCTTCTGGATGGTATCCCAGTCTGTCTGAAAGAAGAGATTAAGGTGGTGAGTTCCCTTGGTAGCAAGGCTATGGGGGTTTTGAGAACTTGCTATGAACCCTTCACCTGAGGAATGCTGAGAAGCAGCTTGCTTCTAAAAGGCATAAAAAAACCGAGTTAAAAAATATGCCACAGGCCTATGGACCTTGCTGCTGCAGGGAGGTGTTGAGACAGATTTTTCAGATTGTGGGAGTGGGGAAGGCTAGGCATTCATGGAAATGAAGGTAGCATCGACAGTACAATGGTAGGCTAAAGAATAGGATAACATGGACTCTGGAAGATGAACACAAGAATGCCCTCCATATCTGGGACTTTTTAATGCCATGTATCCCCTAATGGGAGCAGTAGGTGGTTGGAGAGAGAAGTTCCTCCTCCTTTCCTGCCAAGCAAAGTTCAATAAATGTGTTGCCAAGGTTGGGGAGCAAGGGTTTTTCCTGAAGTTCTCAGCACTGGCCTAACTTGATGAACGCAACAAGGGAGGGGAGAAGTCAGGTGTCCAAGAAGAGTGGTCGTTCCTTATGGAGATGATCCTCCAAGCCCAAAGGGAGGTAATCCCAACACGGATCAAAGGGGACAAGAGGGTGCAAAAGCCCCCGTGGCTCACCAAAAGCATCCGGGAACGTCTCCTAGCTAAAAAGGAGGCGTACACCCAATGGAAGGGAGGGGCCATCACCAGGGAGAACTATACCTCGGTTGCTCGGGGCTGTAGGGGGGCGGCCAGGAAGGCCAAGGCGGAGATGGAACTGGGACTAGCGACCTGGATCAAGGACAACAAGAAGTCCTTTTTTAAATACATAGGGGTTAAGAAGAAGGTAATGGGTAATGTGGGGCCTCTGCAAGGCACACTAGGAAATCTGGTCATTGCTCCAGACGACAAAGCTAAGCTATTTAACAATTTCTTTGCCTCCGTTTTTCTGAGCAGGGACACTGTCTCTCACCCCATTCTCATTAAAAAAACTAGGGAACTGTGGCGTCGACACCTACAGAGTCAAATGGGTCACTGGTTGGCTGGAGGGCCGCACCCAGAGAGTGGTGGTGGATGGGCCTTATTCAACCTGGAGTAATGTGGGCAGTGTGGTTCCGCAGGGCTTGGTCCTCGGGTCCACACTGTTCAACATCTTCATCAGCGACTTGGATGATGGGATAAAAAGCACCCTGTTCAAATTCGCAGATGACACTAAGATGTGGGGGGATGTGGGCATGCTAGAAAGGAGGAATAGGCTGCAATCGGACCTAAACAGGTTACAGGGGTGGGCAGATAAGAACAGGATGGGTTTCAACACTGACAAGTGCAAGGTGCTGCACCTGTGGAGGAAGAACCAGCAGCAGACCTACAGGCTGGGGAACTCCCTTCTCGTCCGTGCAGAGGCAGAAAAGGATCTCGGAGTCATTATTGATGCCAAAATGAACGTGGGCCAACAGTGTGGGGACGCAGTCAGGAAGGCCAACTGCACCTTGTCATGCATCCACACATGCATCACGAGCAGGTCCAAGGAGGTGATCTTCCCCCTCTACGTGGCACTGGTCAGGCCTCAGTTGGAGTACTGCATCCAGTTCTGGGCACCGCACTTCAGGAGGGATGTGGACAACATGTAGAGGGTCCAGAGGAGGGCCACTCACATGATCAGGGGTCAGCAGGGCAGGCCCTACGAGGAGAGGCTATGGGACCTGAACCTGTTCAGCCTCCACAAGAGAAGGCTGAGGGGGATATAGTGGCCGTTTACAAACTAGTCAGAGGGGACCAGCAGGCATTGGGGGAGTCCCGTTCCCCTGAGCACCACCAGAAGTGACTACAAATGATGGTCACAAGCTGGCAGAGGGTAGATTCAGACTAGATATCAGGAGGCGCTACTTCACAGTCGGGGCGGCTAGGATCTGGAACCAACTTCCAAGAGAAGTGGTGCTGGCTCCTACCCTGGGGTATTTAAAAGGAGGCTGGATGAACACCTTGCCAGGATCGTTTGACCTCAATACTCTTTCCTACCACGGCAGGGAGTCGGACTTGATGATCTGCTCAGGTCCCTTTCAACTCTACCAGCTATGAAACTATGAAACATTGCTCCTGTTCAACTCCAAGGGATTTTTGAGTTCTTTACTGCTGTCCGGTGGGGGTGGGGTTCAGACTACTCCAGAGTATTTTGAATCGATTTCCCTGCCACCCCCCAACCCCCCAGCAGTTTTTCACCTCTGTCCTAGCATGAGTTACCCCTTACATTTGCCTCCTCTACTAGATGGCTTTGCTTTCTGGGGCACAGAATTTCAGATTTGCCCATGGAATCACAGGCATCCTGTCCTGCTTTGCCTGGTGTTTGGACTCCTTATCCTTGTTGTACTGCTACATAGCACCTCTGAAAACGTAATCTCTTATTTGGATGCCTAAATGCCAGCATAAGGACCTGTTTTCTCCACCCAGGAAGTGAACACAGAATTTATTGAATGATGAAATTTTTATTTATTTTTTTTTAAGCACCTTCCATCCTAGGCTTATCCAGAATTTGCACACGGTTGTCCACTTGCAAAGAATTAACACACCCCACCATGAGGTAGCTCCTGCAGGTAGCACTTGAAATCAAAAGGCTGATTCTTTCCCCAAGTTCTCAGATGGCAACTAACTGCCAGAGATGGCAAGAACAAGGAGGGCAGGACTCTGCATGCCCTGGAGCTGTGAGGGTAACAGTTGCTATGGTCAAACTTACCCAGCTATAACATGCCCGGGACAGATGAGACAAACCTGTTCTCTTGTGGGGGGAGGGGCGAAGGGGGAGGAAAAGTATGTGCATTTAAGGATGCCTAAGGCACCCCCTTCTCCCCAAGGTGCCTTATCATCATCGATCGGGAACGGCATATCTGGGGACAGAGCCTGAGACTGAGGATGCTACGCTGACCAGGAAGCTGCGGGAGGCTGGAGCTGTCATAATTGGGGTCTCAAACATGCACGAACTGGGGACTGGAACCACTGGCTGTAATCCCGGCAGGTGAGAGGTTTGGTCCCTCCTCCCCCTCTGAATTGTGATATTGGTGTGATAAACACCCCCCACACGCACACGCATGCACACAGAGTACAGGATGAGGGAAAGCTTCCTTAGGACTGTGGGGCAGAATGCCCAAAGGATGGGTGTAGAATGGGATATGTGCCTTAAAAAGCAACATGTGTCTCTTTGGGCAGGAGATGGGGAGAGACTGTTTCTGAGTTCTTTCTTGGTGGTTCCTCTGCCCTTCCTGAACAACTGCACTCTCTTGTATCTCCTTCAGGTTTCATGGCACCACTCGAAACCCATATAACCCCAACTACTTCACTGGTGGCAGCTCCAGTGGGTCAGCAGCTGCAGTAGCTGCAGGTGAGATGCCCTGGACCTGGCTTGGGTGGGAAGGGGCACTATAGAAGCCTCTGGGGCCGTTTTGGAAGGTCCCAGGGTCTGTCGGTGTCACTACTGGCTGGAGGCCTGCAAGATACCTGCAGGCATTTGGGGAACTGGGGAGAGCATGAAATGGCATAAATCCAGTAGGCGGGGACTCTGATCAGGGGGAAAAAGCCCACAAGAGTGAATGTCATGTGGTTTCCTTCCCCCCCACCCCCTCCTCCGAATTGAAGGTTGCTGGTTTAGCTCTACAAGGGAATTTGGAAGTGAATGGGAGCTCTATGTGTGTACCCTACATACTGTCTTTCCTGTTTAAACAAGGCAAGAAGGTAGTGTGGCATGGTCTGGTTACAGTTTCTTTTAACCTGTTCTCTGTAGGTCTTTGCCCTTTGTCTATCGGCAGTGATGGAGGTGGCTCTGTGAGGATTCCTGCTTCTTTTTGTGGCGTTGTGGGGCTGAAAGGTAACCTTGCTGCACACACACTCTCTTGTCAGACTGAGGAGTCCTGCATTTCCCCACAGGGGGAGGGCACTCCACAGTCCTCTTCCAAGCACCAAGCTGTTCCCCAGCCCCATAAGGACTTTGGGGGTGATGGTAATGACATGCTGCATGGACAGTGTTGATTGCAAAGAGTAGTTATTATCCTGCATCCATTACATTAGACTTTGCAGTGATTGGCAGGACACTTAGAGCTGGTGCCTGTGTTCTGATGCTCCCAAATCAAAATTAAAAAATAAGGGCTTGCAGCCAAGAAGGAAAGCATGTTGCAGAAGTGGAATCTCTGTGTGTGTCCAGGTGACACCTGATTCTGTACTCCAGCCCTTTGTGCCTTTCAGCCCCCACAGGGTCACTTCTTCTGGCTGAAGAAGTGGGGTAAGCAAGTGTCATTCTGTGGGCTGGAGGGCAGAAGGGAGAGATACCAGAGTATGAACCATGCTAGCCTTGGCCCCTGGGCCCAGAGGCATCTCTTAGGCATGAAGATAGAGATAAAGATTCTTGATGTTGTCTTTCTCCAGCAAGAGTGGCATTTACTCCCACTTTACCATGCTTCTTTCCCTGGGGAGGAGAAGATTTAAGGAGAGAGAGAGAAATGGATGAGAAAAATCAGATATTTGGCTTCTCCTATCTCAGTGGTGCCTTAATACAGAACTGTAGATAAATGTCTCCTGACTTGGGGATTCAGGAGACCTTTTGAATGAGAAGGTCACTGTATCCTCTCTTTTCAAGATGGGGCCCTGATTACTACCAGATCAGCAAACCTGAGGTAGCCCTAGACCCATTTCTTTAGGGACCTGGCTAGAACAGCCTGGCAGCTCTTCTCAAAGTCTGCAAAGCAGGAAGGTGACTTTATTGCCTTTAGTTCTGTAGTCACCTGTACCCACACTAAAATCCAGACATGCGAGCATTTCAGAGCTGGGATCCTGGTTCCTGCTGGAGAGGGGGCCAGGAACAGCAGGAACCTTTGTGCTGCAAAGGCCCTTAGGGATCCAGAGCTGGGTTAGTATCTTTTCTGGCAAGCATACTTGCCATCCCCTAAAGCAAAACTTAATGGAAGAGCAGAGCCCCACCTTGGGCCTAGAGGGAGGGACGGACCCCATGCTGCAGGGTTCTTCCATCTCTGGAATGCCCAGTTGGTTATCGGACCTGGGTTCTCCCTGAGCTGCACCAGAGGTCAAAGTGCTCCTCTTCCTCCCCTGCTGCTTGTGCTTTCTGGGAAGAGGCTGTGGGCCCAGGGGCTAAGGCTATGGGCCAGTCTGGCTGAATAAAGAAGCCAACAATCTGTACTGCCACTGGCTCCCACAACAGTAGAATGAGGGGACGTAGAGTGACGTGATTAGAGAGCAGATTTAAAACAAATGAAAGGATTTTTTTTTCTCGCACAACAAGTACTCAACTTGTGGGACTCATTGTCATAGGATATTGTGGAGGCTGATAATTTAAACAGGCTCAAAAGAGGATTGAACAAATTCATGGAGGAATGGACCCCTCAGTGACTGTTAAACACTGCAGTAAAGGTTGTGCCTCCTAGGTCTCAGAATGCTGGAAGCCATGAAGGAAGAGTAGTAGAGGACAGATCAGTCTGGACAGACCCTGCATAAGTACTCTTCCTCTTAACACCTGCTCTCTGTCACTGAGAGACACAGGAGATGGGGAATAGATGGACCAGTGGCCTGACTCCGAATCATAGATGTTATGCCCATCTCTGACTCATACATGTTGCCTCTAATTGGGGTCTCTACCTTGTCTTTGAAGGTACATTTGGATGTTTCAGTGCTTACGGTTCCCATCCACTGTCCTACTCCACGGTCAGCCTCGGTAAGAAGGTTTTCACTGCGCTGCTGCAACTTGGTTGGGCATGCGTGTGTCGGGCCTGGAGTGATTGGTGGGGGGGGGGACAGCAGACACCTGCATAAGAGGGAGCATGCTGACAAGAATGTGTGTGGTGGAGAAGAGTGAGGATGGAATCCCCCCACATCCCCACAGGTTCATAACATTTGGATTTCCTTTGGATAGGCCCTATTTGTGCGTCAGTGACAGATGCAGCCATTGCATACAGCATCTTAGCGGCACCAGACCCCCTGTACCCCTATGGTGAGTGAACTGCGCCCTCTCTCCTGGATGCCCTAGGTGCGGTCTCTCATTGTGAGAACTTTGGTGCCTGACAAAGGGTTCCTTTATCCCTTGCAGGATTGAACCAGCCGAAACCATCCCTGTCAGATGTACTCACCCCTGACCTGAAGGGCTTAAAGCTGGGAGTGGACTGGACTTTCTTTAAGGTGCCTGTTGTTACCTTTTCTCCTTCTGTGCTGTACTGCAGTGTGTGTTTGAAGCACCTTCAAATCAAACTTCTCCCCTTTGCCTGGCAGCCAGGGATTAACTGACTGCAAAGGGATTTCCCTTTGCTTCCCTGAGTGCTTTGGCATGTCAGAAAACATTCAGTCCAGTTCAAAGAAATATTTTTCCCCAGAAAGTGACTTGTCTGAATCTGCCCCCACCCTTCCCAGTTTTCTGAGGGGTTTGGGTGATGGCACAAGGAAGCAATGTGCATTAGTGGATGGCAGTGCTTCCACTTGAAATCTTTTTTGAGTGGTTCACTCCACAGGAAACTGTTGATATTTCCACCTTCTTTGGTCTCCATATGAGACCAAACCAAATGCTAAAGTACTGGGATTTCCCTGCTGCATGGAAATACCATTTTTTCAGTACTTGTTTTCCTGAAGCTTGTTTAGGCTGCATGGTCTCTGGGTTCAGGCTTGCTATCCCATGGTTCTACTAGCCTCCCTCCCTGCTAAGACAGCAGCTTCTGGCCATTGTAGGATTGGAGCTGATGCCCAAAGAGAGCCTGGGGTGATGCAGGTTGGATCTGCTGCCCCCGACTCCGATGCAAGGAGAAAGGGAATGTGTGGCCTAAGATCTAGTGTGCAGGGCAGTAGGGTGGCAAGTGCTGAGCTCAGCTCTGGGGGAAGAGGAGAGGTGATGACTGATCGGGTCCTTCTGTTTAATGTCTTTTCAGGCTTGCGATGCAGAGATCTTGGCAGTCTGCCAGAAAGGTAAGGCACAAGAATTTCTTACCTTTATTTTTACTAATCCATTTGGGAGAGCTTCTCCCTCCAAGTTCCCTCTAAGCCTCTGGGTCAAAGGCTGGGAGGTTTTACAAGAGGAAGAATGTGAGGGCAGCTGACTAACTCCTAACTGTTTTGTTTTATGTGAATGTCTCCTATGAGGTCTTGTAGCTCACATTTGACTAATTTTGGTTAGGAAGGCCCCTTGTCATGGGCCCTGAATAACCCTGGGCTTATTTTGAGTCAATAGCATCAGCAGGTCCAGGCTTTTTCAGGTCAAATAGGAAGCTTGCCCTCTACCCCAGCTGAACCCAGTGCTATGGGTTTGTTTCTTTGCCCTGTTGTAACTCAGCCTATGATCAGTACTATTTACCTGCTGCTTTCTATTTTAAAAGGTCTCTGTTTCTCTTTTGCCATAGCCTACCACTAAATGCTTCACTGTGGCCAGTGGAGTTGGTTCCTGCTGCAGCTACCTTACTGCTTGGGGCTTTGGGTAAAACCAAACAGAGGGTGTCTTTGTCTTGTCTATCCCCACTTAGTTTAAAAGATGTTATGAGTACTTGGATGGGACACCCCATATATATGTGGGTTCTACCAGTTGCTTCCATGCTCCATATTCTAACTGCTTGGCTCCATCTCCTCTGGAGGTGCTTGATGCTGTCCTAGGTGTATTTGATCCTCTGTTCCCAACTCTTCTATTTTTTACACATAGATATACATACAGGGTGTTTATAAAGTCCTTGTGCAACTTTAATAACTCTGAATATACACATGATAGAAGCAAACTAAACAGCAATTGAAAGCATAATTAATTAAGTTTTAACACGATACAGCTCAAATTTCTAGGCTTCAATATAACCACCATTTTTCACAATACATCGTTCAATCTGATTTTGTTCCAACTCGTAGAAAACATTTTCCAGTTGCTGCTGAGTGATTTCATGAATTGCATTTGTGATCTTTACCCTATGCGTAGCTTAGACTATGCTAAATAACTTAATGAATTGTGCTTAGTGAATTAAGCACCTTGATCCAGTCCTACTGATAGCATCCTCCCTGGAGCATGGTGGGGTCTGATCTGGTGGGGCAAGTGTTGCTGCAGATAGGCTGGGAAGTGTTATCATTATCCCTTCTTTGCTGACTGGATAACCAAGGTGGAAGCAACTCTCTCAAAGAGTAGCCAGGCATGAGAAGAGTCAAGAGCACACCCAAAAGCTCCAGGGATGGAGGGATTATGTAGACAAGCTCTGTGGTGGTTTGTTTCTTTCTTTGCTTTCTCTCTCCTAGCTAGAGGTGGCCAGGAGCATTACTGCACCTTGCACTGGATAACTAGGCATGCCAGTAGCAGGCATGTGGGAGCCCCGGTCTTTCACAAGATTTGAAATCCTAAGCCCTCTCTTGGCAGTGGGCTTCAGCACAAGTAATGCAGCATCTTGTGTTTTGCTTGATTGCCAGCTGTGGAGCATCTGCAGGCCCTGGGTGCCACGGTGGTGGAAGTGTCCCTGCTGGAGATGGAGGAGGTGCGGGTGGCACATCTGATCTGTATTCTCAGCGAGATGAGGGACTTCCTGCAGCCTGACTTCAACCACCACTTCCAGGACATGGTAAGGGCTTGCCCCCTGGATTGGCAGCACCCATCCTGCTTATTCTAGGCTGTTTGTCAGCCACTATTACCTGTGAAAGGGCAGACTCGCTATGTGGGAAACCCGAGTCCTTCCTCACTTCCTTGTGGTGTGTGGCAACCAATGTACTAAAAATGGTCATGGGAAGGTAGGATGAAAGGGCCATCAAGTCCAGTGCCCTGCTGCTGCAAGTGGCTGCACCTTAGAATCCCCTCCACATACCTGTCCATTCACATTAAGGTGTGCAGCCCCTGCTGCCTCCTCACATGCCCCTGGGGAAGGCTGGTCCAGAATGCAGCATCTTGATCTGTGGTTCCTGACAAGATGGCTCTGTCTCAGGAGCATGTGAAAGCTCCTGCCTTGTTCTTTACCCTGTGCAGATATGAGAACCCAGTTTGTGTGCAAAGCACTGACCTAATGCTATTGTATTTCAGAACCTGGAGACACGGGCCAACCTTGCCTTGGCTTCCAAATTCACTGCTCTGGATTACATTAAGGTGGGGAGCAGGCTGTGGAGGAGGCCTAGTGGGAGGCTTCTCCCAGCTTGGTGGTGAGAGGAGGGGGATGCATAGGTGGCGGAAGGTGGGGGCTAATGGGGTTTAGCCAGCCCCCCGCCCCCCCCCAAAACGGGGTAGGGCTGTAAGGCAGCCTGGCCAAGGGCTTCCAGCAGCTTCAGCAGGGGTGGGGAGGGAGTGGGGCCAGGGGAGGGGTAGGCGCTCCACAGCCAGGGTGGGCGCAGGACTGAACTGCGAGCGGCTTGTCCATGGGACGTGGCTCCTGCTGCTACATGCATGCTGGGAGGTATGGGGGCATGCACCCCCAGATGTGTGCAGGGCAGGCTGCTGTTGGGGGCTGGGCCGCGCTCGGGGCAGGTGGCAGCGGTGCTGGGAGAGGGCTATGGGTGCGGGGACTGCTGCAGCATTTAGTGGTGGTTGTGGTTGCTGCTGCTGATGACTCGGCATAGGTGTTCTGGGGGCTCTATCCCTTCCAGCCCGGTGGCGCAGCCGACACTGGCCCTCTTCCAACTCCTGGCTCCAGG